GAAGATCTTCCACATTGTCTACAATCATCAGCCAGGAGGAGTAGCTGTGCAGTTGTATGGAGACATTTCCTCGTAGTTGAGCGAGTTTGTGTTCTTGAGAGGTGATGGTATTGAGTGATGCTATGGATTCTTCGCTGCATCGAAGGTTTCTTGCCAGGACTATATATGATAGAGTTAAGGTTTCAAGATTAGATGCGTTCAGCGTCGATACGCACTTGGCTGATTCGTCAACGTCTTCAAAATATTTCTTTCCAATCTGCCTCGCAAGCTCACTTTTACCACAACCAGGATTTCCAGACAAATACGTAATGGTGATTTCATGTGGAAACATTGCTTTAAGTTGCTGTATGTTGGACATTATCTCTGTTACTTCACTAGTACGGTTGATAGTTGGATGAGATGGTTTCTGAGGCAGAATACAAAACTTTGGCAGACTTTCATCTGTAAAACAAATTAAAACACTGTATTGTAACTTGTTTTTGAAAAATCGTAAGAGGAAGAAGTTCAAAACATGAATAGTTTGTGGTTTTCACTGTCGTGGAATTTTCAATTGGTGTACTTATTTTTATTATAACAAACTGAATACAAATACTCTGCGAACAGAGGTTCTTTTCTCACCCGCCGAGAAGCGAGAGAAAAATAACCTCTGCCTACTTCCGATTATTACATCCAAACTTCTGGATGTAAACATTATGGGCTATTCGTTGAAAAAGCTGGTTTTCAACCGGTTTTCGCGTCTACGTCATTATCACCTTGCGAATTACCGCTAGTTTTTATTGTGGGCTCTCCGGCTAATTCAATACGGCGGGTAAAGGTCTCTCCACTTGAGAATTCAAAGATTTGGTTAGCATTTGCTTGAAGAAATTAGATGTAAAGATACAAAAACTATCAAAACATAAATTCGGCGCTCTTTTTTCCATATTATTCAAAATGATACATTCGTAAATCTTCCAATCGGCCACGGGAAGTCTCCCGTACATCAACTTTCTGTTGTGGTTTGTCATTTAGCACCTTGACCTTTGACATACGTTATGCTACGTCACACTTGCGCATGCTCAACGGAATAATAATCGGAAGCCGGCAGAGGTTATTTTTCTCGGCGGGTGAGAAAAGAACCTCTGTTCGCAGAGTAGAATACAAAAGACAGTCAAATAATTTTTTTTATATAAGTACATCAAGATACTTCACAGGGTTGTTTTTGTTTCAATATTAACCACTTAATTTGTCATAAATCTAAAGATATGTTTGAATAAAGTTTTTAAAAGAACAATAATTTTAAAATTTTCGAATGATTTGCGATCTGTTAGCGAGAGCAGAGCAAAAATTATTTCAATTTACCCATGTCATTGAACACAACGTTTGTAAATTCCTGTAGCTAGTAGTTACAAGGAAACAGAAACAAAATCCTAAATCCTTTTTTTATTTTAAAACCTGTTAAAAATGTTAAACACTGTTTTAAAATATTATCATCAGTAAGACTTACTTTCAGACGGTAATTGCATTGATATCTTGTTTAGTTTTTGGATGATTATTTCCATTTTCTTTTCTTCGCCTTCTTCCCACGATTGAAGAAGAATATTTAGGTCGGCTTCATTTAGTGGATCCATCGACTCGATCTCTTTCAGACGCTCGATTTGTGTCCCATAATCACTGACATGACGATATGAGTGCGCAAGCCTTAATAATGCTGCCTCAATTTCAACCCACTGAVTCTCGAATTCGATATCGGAGAGTTTTGCCTCGGGGCTATGACCAGTGATTTCATTTCGACATTCTTTTACTCGAATCAGATCAGCCTCTTTGCTAATATCAGCKKGAGGTGGGGCAGCATTCCAACCTGTAGTGGGTGCAGTAAGGCCACAGGTATTCCGTAGGAGAAGGAAGAGCAATGTTATGTCGAAGGTAGACGACGATGGCACTCCTGGTGCTGTTGGGTATAACTTTACCCATTGTTTTACTTTCAGGACTCCTTTATTTTTAAGCGTTTTCAGCTTATTGTGTACAGCGGTGGAGTTGAGATGTTTTCGAAGATCACCATTCAAATGTAAGACTAATGAATCAAAGAGACCTCTCAAAACTCTTGTCCCAATATCGATTAAAAGTCTGCTTAATCGAGTGTAGTTATTTTTTTGCTTTGGAGTCGACGATGACCTTGTTGCTGGGTGTGGTGGTGGCGGTG